ACTCTTGCATCTTCCCATACATAGAAAAGCACTGAAAAACCATTAACTTGAGATGTCTGTTTTTTTGTGATTATCGGTAATCTTTTTATGTTTGACTACATTTTTTTTTTTTTTTTCAGCAAAACTCCTATATATCCCGGTCCCTCTTTGACCTCTTGGGAACAGTCCCTCAGAGCTCTCTGAGAGGCTGTCTTCCCAGGCTAACGTCCTCAGTAAGGTCCCCGAATAAAACACAACTCACAACTTTTAGGTTTTTGTCTTTGTTTTTAGTCGACCAAGGCAAACGGGATAGGAAGTAAAGGGTTTAGGAGGGCTACTCAGAGGGGAGGGGCTGGTCAGCGAAGGCTGATGACCCAGCAACATATGGCTGTACAGGTACATGATAATATGGATATGCATATGGTGATATATGGCTGAGACCAGAAGAAAGGGATCATTTCTCAAGCCCGCAGGATATCCAAATTGCTGCAATAATCACCTGGTGGGCAGCAGTGCCCTCCTACTTTTAGACTCAAACGGGAGAGTTAATAAACAATCGAGAAATAAGAGGTCACATTTTTAGGGCTTCCCTGGTGGTGCAGTGGTTGTGAGTCCGCCTGCCGATGCAAGGGACACGGGTTCGTGCCCCGGTCCGGGAAGATCCCACATGCAGCAGAGCGGCTGGGCCCGTGAGCCATGGCCGCTGAGCCTGCACATCTGAGCCTGTGCTCCGCAACGGGAGAGGCCACAGCAGTGAGAGGCCCGCGTACCGCAAAAAAATAAATAAATAAAAGAGGTCACATTTTTAGTTTGATATTTCCCTTTCGTTACAAATGCCTTACTGAATAAGCTAGGCCACCCTTGTTCTTTGCAAAGAAGAATTTAAAGCCCACAAAACAAAAAAGCCCTAAAGGGGTGCCACGTTCAAGAGGCTCGCTCAGTGGTGCACTTCCGCTAACAACAGCAAGGGAAGGGATCATTGCTGGGCTTATTGCTCTTACCACCCAACATGAGACAAAAATGGTTTAGGGCCCAGGCGTCAGGCGGGACACCAAGAGTCAGACACAGAGGCAAAGAGAAAGAAAAGAGTCACTGCGCTTTCTGTGGCAGGCCGTCAGATAGTGCCTCATAATGTTCAACTGTGTGAATTTCAAAATCTGAAATGCTTACTCATGATTTGTAGCTTTCAAAACCTGGCCGCTAAATACTGACCATGTGGCATTGAGGCAGGAGGTAGATGGGCCCCAGGCTAGACATTGACAACCAGCCTCCTGTTCACTCTTCCTGGGGTGAGAAGAAGATGGGCTTCAGGCCGGACATTCATTATCAGCCCCTTGTTTACATTTCCCGAGGCAAGAGACAAACTGGCTCCCGACTACATTAATGAGCGGACTCCTCTCTGTATTTCGAGATCTGCACTTTGATATAAGAAACAACAACAGGAATAGGGTAGATAACCGGACATTGGACACTTTTATGGCAGGAACAGAGAGGGGCTAAACTCTGCTAAAAGATCAAGAGGTCATACATTTCCCATCCTTGAGGCAAGGGAAACATTGCACATGCGCAGAAAGGCTCCTTGGGGGTCAAAAGGAGGGGGCACACCCCATAATACGTGATGCTAAGGCCGTCCTATAGACCTCGGGGCTGAAATCCACCTTGGAAAAACGTTGCACACGCACGTTGGGGAGGGTCCTAGAGCAGGGCAAGTGTGGAAAAAGAAACCAGGTAATTGGCCAAAGGTAAACGAACACCCGGAAGAACTGCCCTATATGAATGACCTAACCACCTCTTTCCTGGCTTCTCCTCATTCGGGAGGATGCCCACACCCTTCCTCTCCCGTGTGCATCTCTGCCTTGCTTCTGTCCTAACTAAACAAACTGTTTCTCTGTGTGCTCTCCCACCTGTTGTTGTGCTATGTCTCTAATAATAAACTTGTACCTGTTTTTACAGTTTTTGCTTCCGTGAGAAATGCATTTTTCACTGGGGACAAGACCCAGGGTGTGTGGTGGCCAGGATTCCTGGTTTTCATCCAGGCTCCCCAGGTTCAATTCCTGGGCAGGGGATTACGATCTCGCTTCAGGCCACCACTCACTGCTGCCTCTCGGAGATTAGCTTTACTCCCTGGAGGGGCTGACTCCTGGCTTCCTTGGGTCAAGGTTATGTGGCCATCACCACCTACTACTTTATCACCATAAAGCAGCAAGGCTGGTAAATATTTACATTCTGAGAAGACTCATGAGGCGTGCTTGTTAACAATGAAGATTCCCAAGCCCCAAACACAAAAATTCTAAATCAGGAAATTTAGAATAAAAACAGAATCAACCTTTTTATTAAAGTAACATCAAAATTAATTCTCAGGTAGGTAGTATAAGAATAGTGGGTAGGCAGTATAAGAATCACACTTAGAAAAAATAGACAACTTGTGATATGTAGACTTGGTCTAAAAGGACAGTTTTCAAAACTTTGTCATCCACTGAGGTTTTAGTTTTATGTACAGCTGACCCTTAATACTTGGGGGTTAGGAGTTGCGACCCTCCCTCGAAGTAGAAAATCTGTATAATTCAGAGGCAGCCCTCCATACACGCAGTTCTGCACCTGCAGATTCAACCAACCACTTATCTGTAGTACTGTAGTATTTACTACTGAAGAAAATTCCTGTATAAGTGAACCCTCACAGTTCAAACTCCTGTTATTCAAAGGTCACATGCATATGGATGTTTTCTTTTAGCCATTTAATATTACACAAACGATTTGAGATGGCCCTGCTCATTCATATGGGAGAAATTAGGGATCATATAGGAAACAACTGAAAGATGTTCAAGAGAACATAATCTGCCAATTAAAAAAAAGAACTGTAAAAAAAAAAAATCAACTTAAGCTAAATTACAATGGCAGTGATAAGAACCACATTCAACAACTTATATATGAGTGCCATACTCCAAAAATTACTCCATCACCCCACCATCAAAGCTAACAAAACCATTAAAAATTTTGGCCCGATCATTGGGACATGAAAAAGTAGTACTAGAGTCAGAGAGTCTACAGCCATGGTGCTCAGCCCTGCTAGACTTGGTGTTTGTTGGGATTTTTTATTATCATTCTTAATTGAGATATATTTCAAATAACATAAAATTTACCATTTAAAAATGTACGATTCAGTGGGTTTTAAAAATATCCATAATGTTGCACAACCATCACCACTAATTCCATATTTTTATCACCCTAAAAAGAAACTCTTACCTGGTAGTAGTCGTTTCTCCTTCCCTTCTTCCTCCAGCCCCTGGCAACCACTAATCTACTTTTTGTCTCTATTCAGTGCCTGCTTGTCTAGGAAAATGCCCCGTTTAGATTAACGTCCCATTCAGAGTCCCAAAATAAAATTTTGAGATCATATAACCTATATATTCATATAAATTTCAGATATGTTTATGTTGTGCAGACTGTCAATCTCTGCATGCCCCTTGACATGGTTTGAATTTCTCCCATGTTACTAGCTATGCCTCTGCAGCATTACTTTCAATGGCTGAAGGAATTTCATCAAATAGATACTGCACAAAGCACCTAAATCTGGTGGTGTTGTCATTTATATTTGAATACTGATTTTTAAAAAAATCTAGTGGGACTTCCCTGGTGGTCCAGCGGTTAAGACTCTGCCCTCCCAACGCAGGAGGCCCAGGTTCGTTCCCTGGTCAGGGAACTAGATCCTGCGTGCCCCCGTGTGCCGCATAAGACCCGGTGCAGTCAAATAAATAGATAAATGAATATTCTTTAAAAAGAAAAAAAAATCTAGCAACCAGGTTTAAACACTTACATTTTGTATTTCCAAAACGAAGCTACCGTATTACACTGTTTTGTTTGGTTTTTTTTAGCATCGGCATGTTTAGAAGCCTGGCATGGAGGTGGGGGAAAGCTGTGAAGCCCCTCTGTCCTTATCACACTGTGTGTGTGGAGCAAGGCTAGCTCTTTTTTATCATAAGGAATTTGGTGGCAATTTCTGTAGGACATTTGCTCCTCAAAAGTATCTCCCAGAGATTCTATTATAAAAGTCCCACAGTAGCTATGTTAAGCATTAAAACCATATGCAGACGAATATCAAAAGAGGATGATGTTTATTTGGCATTGTTTGGTACCAAGCATTACCTTAAGCGCTCACAGTCAGTCTCAAAGCCATAAAGTCCTATTTCGCAAAATGTAACATAAGCACCCCAGTTAGACTTGCTTCAGATTTCTAACACGAAAAAAAAGAAAAGAAAAAGAATAAAAAGGCCTCTTCTATGATTTAGGTGTAGGAACTAACTGCACAGGCATTTGCATTTGTATGAAGGGGGCTGAAACTCAGCTTCAGAATCAGCCAGGATTTTATTCTTCTCTTTTACTTTATTAGGGAAGCAGAGACTATGCTGATAAATCTTCCTTCCGTCTTCTGGCACACTTAAAAACTCATTTTTGAGCTCCACTGACTCCATTATGTTGAACTTTGGTATTAAGTACGAAGGGAGGAAAAGAGTAGGTGTGTGGGTGGAAAGGAGGAGAACAGAGGGAAGCAAAGGGCCAGGAGTGAAGGGACAACCATGGGGCCACCATATCTGTGAGCCCTCCACTCAACAATGGCAAAGCAACAATATACAGTGTAGAGAACCAGAAGGCTGCCACAGAGGCGCAGGCTTAACAGGAGATCCGCCAGTCCACATGCGGCAGATGTCCTGTTTCCTAGACACCACCTCCCATGAACTCGTTTGACTTCCGTTTCTGTTTCAGGACTCCATGATTTGGTTTCTGTTTTAGCATTTGAACAATAATAATTTTACTACAAAAGGTAAATGTCTTGTAAACGAATGTGAAACATATTGCTTGGCAAAGTTTACAATGTCAGGATTTATAGCTCCAACACCAAGGCTCTCTCTGACCTCGCAGATAACATAATGAAGCAGCAATGTGCTCCAAATGACTCAGTGTGATTTTTTATTAGTTCTCGTAATCGCCCCCTATTAATTTGTATGCACATAATAAGCACTCACCTTCACAGTTTGTCCGGCTTCGGGGCCATCCTAGAAATAGGGGGAAAAAAAAAAAAAGACAGAGGTGAGAACAGATAGATGGTATCTCCTGCTTATTCAGAAATATTGCCTGTTAATAATTTAGATCCAATTTCATTGTGTGTTAATTTATAGTTTCCTCATGGGGACCATTCGCTTTGAAGGTACGGGGCCCAACAGTTCTCCATTTCCGCTTGAGAGTAAGAAGTTATGTATAAAAATGATATAAATTATCCAGTGAGTGAACCCCTTTCCTACTTTTCATGCTCTTTGCTTTTGGCTATGGTTTTAATTGCATTAAAGGAAGACTGGAAATATTTGGGGAGGTGAAGTATCACACCTTTTGGTTATCTTTAAACCAGATGTAGCTTAATTAATGCCTGATTACTTTAAGTCTCTCCTCAGGAAATTGCTATAAACATAATCCATTAAGCAAGAAGCAAGAATATGGGCTGTCTCATGTAGAAGGAGCACCCAAGAGTGGGCCCTTTCTGGCTCTTCTGACCTTGGGAGAAAAGGTGCAAGTGTTTATTGTAGCTGAGTTCTTTTCCCATCCTGGGTCCTTCCCTCGGCTTTCTGAAGCCCAACTGAACTACTTGCTTAGCTAAAAAATAAGCAAACTCGCCAAGTCATCAGCCACAATACAAAGCAAAAGCAAGTAAGTGCTCAGCTGGTTGGGAACAGCACAACATGCAATGTTTCTACAATCAGAAACTTCAAAATGGAATGACAACTCTGAAAATTTAGCTTAAGGCTTTCTACTTCTAAGACCCAAACTACTTGGGGTGAGGATTCTTGCCCTGCTATGGCGAAGATTAAGCAGACCTGTGTGATCAGTGGTTTTCAAACTTGGAGTCTCAACCTATTAGTGGGTCATAAAGTCAACCTGATGGGCTGTGACCAGCACTGAAGACAAAAGAAATCAGATAACAGAACAAAAACTCTTAGATTGCACAGAATAGGTAAACACTGCTTTGTGAAGTTTCTGTTTCATTTATCTACATGTCTGTAGGGGGAGAGGGGAATATATGATTGTGAAATAAATATATATCTTACTGTACGTTAAAGTTTTAAAAAGTTTGAAAACACCACATATATGAAAGTACTCTAAGTGCTTTATATAATAGCAACAGTTTCTATATTTTTTAACATCAGTTTCTATACTTTTGGAATTAAGTTTCTAGCAAATCATGTTAGATAACCAGCACTGGCCATTTCCTATGTATGTGAATTTTCTTCTAGTATTCCATTAAACACTGACAGATGTCTTCACCCAGTTGCCTTCATTTGGTCTCTCTGGAAACATGATTTGCAGCATCAGCTTAATAAACCCACCCTGAGCTTAACTACCTGCCTGAAGGTGACTCAAAGGGGTTAATACACAATACACACAGACAGACAGACACACACACACACACACACACACACAACCCCCCCACACACAGTATTTTACAAGGAAGTTTAGATACTCTTGACACAGACATGGTGGCAAAAGGTTTTTTTTAAAGAATGCAGATGAGGGAATTCCCTGGTCATCCAGCAGTTAGGACTCCTTGCTTCCACTGCACGGGGCACAGGTTCAATCCCTGGTCGGGATACTAAGATTCCGCAGGCCGCATGGCGCGGCCAATAAATAAATAAAAAAAAAAAATGCAGATGGGCATTTCTAGTCAGAGTCTTTCACGACCTGAAAACGGTGGCCTTCTCTATCTGTTCTCTTTTAAAGTCTACGGTGAAGAGCTGAGGAGGGTAGAGGGAGGATGATAAATATCCAGTTTGCCTAAAGCACTGAGCACAAGGTCTTGCATCATGAAACCATCCACTTCTTTCCAAAGGGTTTTTGGAGAGTCATCAAATCTCAAGGCCACACAGGGCTTTAATTACGTATAGATACCCGCAGCTCTTTCCATGGGCGATAGGAAGGGGCTCATGGTATATTACTACCTGAAGATTCAATCAATTCCCACAGCTGATGACCCACCGCCGACCTCCTCCTCCCACACTGACAAGCGTCGGCTCAAACTCGGCCTAAAGATCTCTAGTGATTGGGGGTCTAGCTTCTTTACCAGGAAGGAGGCCACACTGAACACTCAATCAATCCAGCTTCATACCATAAGGAATCCATAATCAATCACTGAGGCTTGAATTAAAAAGGTCAGCCTTGTGAGGGCGAGGCCCTACCTAACCTGCATATCTCTATTCCCCTAGAAATAGAGCAGGGCTCAAAACATATTTCTCTTGGAATCAAAATGACATGTCCAGCCCCAGTTCCAATAAGAGATCTGGAATGTCTTCATGCTCATCACATACATCACACGTCCAGTACTCCCAGCTGCTTGGTCAACAACCCTGTGCGCATTGCCTCCGCTGATATCCCACCCTGTTCACCAAGTCCACGTCGGGGCCTTGTGGATGGTAGGGTGGCCCTGGATGAGCGAGCTATCTGTACACTCACCTGCACGGAAAAGGTGAGAGAGGTGCCCTGGAAATGCTTTTCCACTGCCGTCCCGACTCTCTGTGCTGCCAGAAACAGGTCGGCCACTTCATCGGGATGCAGGTCTCGGAAGCGCTCCACTGGCCGGAGGGGACACACGAGGACATCTGCAGTGAGGTCTGTTAAGGTACACTCTGCTTGCTTTAGGGACCATTTTTACCAAGAAGTTTATACCCACAGGCTTGAATCCCCTTGGCCCAGGGCCTGAACTCGCAAAGGCTAAGGAATAAAAGAACAAATATTTACCAATCACTGAACTCCAAGGAGTTCAAAGAGAGCTTACAAACATGGTTCATTATACTTTAAAGGAGAAGCTATGGCGCACTGAAGAAATTCTCTTAAGAGAAAAAGACATCAGTGTTCAGAGAGACTTAAGTGCTGGCTGAAATAATTAGGCCACGAGGCAGGATCTATGCTGGACCGTTATCTCCTGACCCCTATTCTCAAGCAGCCAAAGGCCCTGGGTTGGAAAAGCAACTGGAATATTCAGTTGGTTTTTCTAGAAAGAGCATCACAATCAAAACTTTAATTTCAATATCTCTGTAGAGAAATATGTAATCAAAAGACAATAGTATTTTATTTTTAAAAGTTGTATAGAGATTCTGAAAATGGCTCAGTGAACTTCATTTATAACAAGGAGATGTGCCACACGGTTAAGCAATTGATGACAAGCATTCCTCAAACTGATTATTAAGAATTCAAGAAGGCAGTTGAAGGTAAATCATTAAGTTAAAACAAGGGGTGTCTGCTTGTGCGAATGAAGCCATCTTAATGTATTCTATTAGTCAGACAAATCAACATATTTGCATTATTGGTCTGAACAAACAACAAATTCTAGAGAAAAAGGATGCAGGTTTGATCATTTGTTGGTAGCAAATAAACATTCAGCGTCACATCATCAATAACGTTTCAATTCCTTTTTGTATTTGAACTCATAAGTGTATGGTATACACGTATAGACATGTACACATACATGTGTATACACACACAAGCTACATTAATTTTTGTTCCGTTTTCAGGTACCAGCAGGAGAAAAAAAGCTAATGTTCTTTTCTGTTTCTTTCGTTTTTCTTGTTTTAAAAGAACATGCTTCTGCTTTGAGCCAAGCAGCTAAGGGGCATAATAAAACCACAAGTCTACAGTTGCTAGTCTCACCAGAATATCAAGCATTTTAGCCCACCAAAGGATTGGTAGGACTCAGGACCCAAGGGGAAATGCACTGAGCTCAGCTGGGTGGGCCTGATTTCCATAAGACAGGGGGGAAAAGAGAGGGAAAACTGATTAATTTTGCTCATAATCAGGAAATTTATGTCAGGAAAACGAGTATTTGTTTAATCTGAGTTCATTTTTCAAGAGAGGAGAAGGGAGGCCTTCACCCACAGGGCATCTGATACTTAAAAAGATAATTATCCTTCTTTGGCAGGGCTGCTTTATTATCATGGGTCAATGAACCATTTAGAAATGGAGAATTTCTTTCATTTCCTCTGAGCTGATTGCCAGCCTCCACTCCCACTGAGCTGCTTTTTTTGCTGTTAAAAGAGCCCTTTCCCCATCTTCCTCCTCCCTGCTTTAATTTACACCCTCCCTTAGGCTCTGACTTCACCAAACCACAGCAAGATGACAATTTTGCAAGCTTCCAACAATATTCATAATTACTGTGGTTGGCTATGTCTGCACACAGAAACTAGGTGGGGAAGGGCATAACATTCTATTGAAACAACTGCTTACTGTGAAAACGGATGGAATGAATCTGGCAATCTTCGTGTCTAACGTTACTTTAGTAATATCAATGACATCTGAAAGGTTTTTTCCAATGCCATAAAAAACTGTATCTTATTACCTGTCCATTTTCTTACCCGGTGCTAAGAATCAGCTTGACCCAAGTTTAACGAATCAAACTGTTTATGGAACGGAACGAAAATGGTTGAACGTGTGAGATGTTCTATCCTGTACATACCTAACCGCAGGGTGATACATCACATACATTTTTTACTGTAACTGAATATTAGTATAGAAATATAACATATCACAAAAGATTTCAACAGCTAAGCACATTCTCATTTAGGTGGATATTTTTCAGCAACCCATTTAGGCAACATTGTCCTGACATAATATTCCCTGCAACCCAACCTTTTGTTAAAAAGTCATCTTATCTGCATATCACACACAGACATTTTGATGCAAAAAATAAGATGAAATGGAGATTACTCTCAAGGGTGCTTACTTCTGCAGGTGGTCATGTGGGTGATCACTGTCTTTGTTCTGTTGGGACCCAGAGGATGGCCAAACAGCCATCTCAACCTAGAAATGGCCACACAGGTGGGTTCCACATCACTCTACACGGAGGTAGCTGGGTCTGGCATTACACACCGTGGGGCTCTGGAGCCTCTGGTTGCAGTGTGAGAAGCTGACCTGGCCAGTAGCAGATTCGCTAACCGTCACACTCCCTGGGGCCATTCTGGGCACTAACTGGGCATCAGAAAGTCAGCATCAACCGTCTTCCCTCAGTTCCTTTACAACCAGAGAAGACAAAAGCCTGAGCCTTAACCTCACCGTAGGCTGCGTCCTGACTGATGCCTACCTACCTCCTGAGCCTCTTTTTCCTCACTCCTCTCTAGCATACCATACATCTGCCATATATGCTTTCTTTCTGTTCTTCAAACACACTAAGCTCCTTCCTAGATTTGGGGGTTTTGTCCTGGTTATTTGTTCTGCCTAGATCAATCCCCCCTGATCTTCACATGGCCGCTTCTTTCTTATCATTCAGAACCTAATTCCAATGCCACTCTCTCAAAAGAACAATTAACTGCTAGGGACTTTAAACTGCTACTTGCTTACTCACTCTTACATCACCCTATTTTAATCTTTTCACAGCCCCCCTGCCACCAGCTGGCGGGTTTCTTGGCTGGTTACTACGTACCCAGATGAGAAAGGAAGCTCCACAAAAGTAAAGGCTTTGTCTTGTTTATTGCCCTTTCACCACCACCTACAACACCAGAGACGCTTAGGAAGTCTTGCTGGAATGAGAGAATAAATAATAAACCAGACCCTTGTATCAGCCACCTCTGAGTACTAAAACCCTGACAAAATGGAGATGACATTCATTTACTTTTCAATCATCTATACAAGATTGAGATAGTCTGCAATATATTTTTTTTTAATTCAAAGAAGTTTATCCTTAAGATCTAGCATGGTTAGAACTAATGTTAGATGAAAACTGGAGAAATGTAAACTCATTTTTAACAGAAACTAATTTTCACATGAGCCCAAAGGAAATAAAATTGTGAAGGTAAAAGCCTTTTTAAAAAACCCTTTTATAACTAGAGAGAAGTAGTTTCTAGAATACTCAGAGTCTCAGATAAACTGTATCTATTAAAATGCTGCTTTATATTGTGACTGAGACGTGTAACTCATTTGCTCCTTCAATGAACACTGAGCATCACTTAAGTGTGGACTCTGGGAACAGCAAAGGAGAAAAAGAAGGTATTCCTGTCCTTCCGGTCCGGGAGACAGGCACTGAAATACACAACCGCAGTACTGTCGGAGGCACAGATAGAAGCACAGAGGGCTGCCCAATGCAGTGGGGACCTGGGGCACCTGAGTAAGGCAGGGGCTCTAGAGTAACCATGGGGAACCTCTGAGTGGGATGAATTATCCCATGGCTACCTGAAAATATAAAGAGGTTCATAAAGAAGTCAAAGCAGATCAGCAAACTTTTTCTGCAAAGGGCCAGATGGTAAATATTTTAGGTTTGGTGGGCCATATGCCTAAGGAGCCATAGATAATACGAACACAAATAGGTGTGGCTATATCCCAGGAAACCTTTATATACAAAAAGAGGAGCCTGGCCAGATTTGGCCCGTGGGCCTTGAAGTGTCAGCCCTTGATTTAGAGGAATCACATCAGAAAAAAATTAAGTAAAGGAAACTGAAAGTATTGTGGGGGGAGGGTATTCCTCTTTTCCTAAATTGAGGACTACAATGTTATCTTAATAGCATATTAGAAAAATATTACGTATCTTAAAAAAATTACCTTTCTAAGAAAAATATGTCAACACGGTAGAACATTTTCATGACTCTGTAATAATTCTGATGCTTTTAAAGACTAATCACAACCATAAAATGTGTCGTGGTATTGACACCACATAGATAAATCACGAGTATTACTCCCCATTACAACTCAAGGAGTTTCTGCCACTACCAAATGGAAAAATGAAGCATGTGATCTGCAAACACGTGAGAGCACCAAAACAGTGTGTTATTCACAAATTCTTCTGAGAATACAATTATTTTCTCAAAATAAGTGCACAAGCCTTAGAAGAAAATACCATATTACCCGAAGATGGTGGGTACCATGTGCTCCATGTTGTTCCTAGACAAGCAACTCAGGGAGAGCGAATTAATTTTGAAGAACAGCAGACGGCTCTTGAAATTCTTCTGCCACTGTTTATATGCCAGTTGTTTTAAGGTAATATCACAGGTGCAATATAATTTAATTTGGAGACTCTTAGGCCTTGTTAGCGGGCAAATCCCATATTGTGCATGGGCTACAAGAACACACTTTCCCCTGGGTCCTCTTTGCATAGAATTAACACCTCTGAAGAGACTTTTTAGCCAACGTGCATGATAACCCTCAAAGAAGGTAATCTACTCAATTGAATTTAATATGTTTATCCAGTACTCATTATGTCTGAAAGCCTGTGAAAGAGATTATCAAATGGGATCTGGCCTCTCCCTATAGTCTAAAGGAGACACATTCATTTAGTAATGACAGTTCTTTTTTAAAGAAGAGAAGGTCAATAATTATGATTTAGTCCCTATGGTCGACAAAGGGATTTCTCACAGCAGAGGAAAATCAAAGAAGACTTTTTAGCGCAGGTGAGATTTAAAGCGGACTTCACAAACCGGAGAGTGAACCAAACAGAGGGTTGGCTGGCAACTCACTCATCCATCCACCCCACAACTACAGCCTCCTTTCAGTCCGGGGTTTGTGTGAAAAGTTGGGATGCCAAGGTGAATGTGACAGAGTGACTGGCCTTGAAGTGCTCATACTCTATTATCCCGAGCTATCATGTAGCATAAACAGATCATACGACGCTGAGAGGTGA